GAGCTGCTCTGTTTGTAATGTGCTTCACTGCAGCCTGATCTTGCCAAATTGGTCATTGGGAGGGTAGCCGTGGAAACTAGACAAGAAACCGTGGAGCCTCCAACTGAAAGACTCAAGGCCGTAAATTCAGTGTTCTACATAAAATACAAGTACCACCCCAACAAAGTAAGGGGCTTCATAGCCTCAAGCCTCCCCGTGATCGCATTGCTATAATAAAAAGAATCATTGACAAGCCTTCAGGAGACCTCACTCTCATGTTCGAGACTTGTTTTTCAAAAACGCTTCTATAAAGCACCGGAGGATGGCTCAAGTCCATTACTAAGTTTCTAATAAGTAATTGTGNTCATGTAACACATNAATATATTTATGCTCTCAAATGGCTGTTTGGATTTGCTATGTGGATTGATTTTGGACAATCTGTTGTGTTTCAAATTGTTGCTTTCGTAACAACTCATGCCAAGGAGTCGGATATTTTTAGATGTGTAGGCTTTATAATGCCTTCTTTCAAGTCTTCTAGCAACAAGGCAAAGTAAATTTTTGGGAACAATTACTGCATGATAGTTGTGCGAATCGAATTCTACTCTACGCATCTGAATTCCTTTTCAGACTTACTCATACAAATTGAATTACACGCTTGGAGTATTGCTCTGTTTTTGTCTTTCTAAAGAACATTTCCACCGTTATTCGGTTAAAGTTTAAACAGGTTTTGAATGATTTATATTTTTGTTGGATACAGATTTTTCTTCGACTTTAGTATGGCATATGTTGGAGCTGGGATGATTTGGTGAATCTATCGTTGCTCCTCGTTACGATTCTCTTTTGGCGAATTATGTGGCCTCTGATTGCTTGGCTTAAAGGCGAATGGTTTCCTGCTACATTGCCAGAGAGTAGCATGAAGAGCTTAAATGGCTACAAGGTCTGATTTGTATACTTTAGTTCTATATATCTTCACAAGTTTCGAGCTGCAGAAGCGATAGAGATGCGATAAGTTTCCCTTTTG